AAAAAAAAAAGAAAATGCATTTTTCTTCATGGATTTGGCCTCCTGTGCTATAGATAAAAAGCTAAGAAGCCCCCTATAGTTATCAAACATCCATATGCACTGACTCTTTGCTTCTCTCTCTCCTAAGAATATGACTGCTGCCCTTGTCAGTCAAATTCAGAATGTGAAAGAATTTTGATATTCTAGGAGCCTCTTATTTGGCCCCCAAACAGCATTAGCCTATGCTTGGAAGCAAATGACACAAGAGAACAGCTTGCAAATAATCGTGTTCTGACTCTGCCTTCCTCTTAAACAGAAACAAGTTGCTTACATTATGCAGGAATACAATGATGCCCTTCAGAGAGCTGAAAGATTGTCTGTTGCACGAGAAAACTTCCTTCTGGGAAAAAACAATCCTTCTAACTTAGTGACACAAGAAGACCTGACTATTTACACAAAGTGGATTGTATGTCACCTACACTCGCTCAGGACTGTTCACCACTACCTACGGGTATGTGAAACATAGTTATATGATAATATAGTGCCCTCCCATGATGGTCAGCATTGTTTTTTCACACCTGTCACCTACTTTTGGATTGTCACTGCTTCTGTGTTCTCCTTGCCCTACGAATGACAGGAAAATAGTCATTAGCTTTTTTCTTTGAAACCTTTGAAAATGTTTTTTTTGAAAACTTGCTCTAATGAAACCACTCCATTAATTTAGTTTTTTCAAACATGTGTCTGCTGTATTATTTCATATTCACTCTGCAAGTTCTTGTTCTCATCATCTTGTTCAGAATATATGATGTCCCATTTAGATCTGCTTTTTCATTCAGCAGTATCTAATAAGGGTCTAATACATGCCAGGTACATGTCCAGGGCCATGAAACAACAATATGGGCTTTGCTGAAAAAAGTAACTGGGTCCCAGGCTGGAAGGGAAATGAGCAAGTAAATATTCAACTGAAATACCATGTGGTAAGAAAGAATAGGATGGAATAGAAAAGAACAGAATAAGTATAATCACAGAGTAAATAGAGTCACCAATGAGAGGCTGTAACCCAGGCTAGAGGCATCAGAAAGGAGTGATGTGATCATATGTCTATTTTAGGAAGATTATTATTTTGCTACCTAAATCTTTTCCTACTCGTCTATGGCTCATCTCAGTGATACTACCATCCACTGAATTACCCAAACCAGAAAACTGGCCATCATCCTAACTTCAGTCCTTCCCTAGTTGGTCACTATGGTGTCTACCTGTGAGTCCTCTCTCCCCAGTCACATGACATAATAACACTGTGCTCATAAGTCTTTGTCCCCCCATTAAACTGTGAACTCTTTGAGGCTGGTCTATGTCTTATTCTTTTTTTTTTTAATAATTTTTTTAACGTTTATTTATTTTTGAGACAGAGAGAGACAGAGCATGAATGGGGGAGGGTCAGAGAGAGAGGGAGACACAGAATCTGAAACAGGCTCCAGGCTCTGAGCCATCAGCACAGAGCCCGACGTGGGGCTCAAACTCACGGACCACGAGGTCATGACCTGAGCCAAAGTCAAGATGCTTAACCAACTGAGCCACCCAGGTGCCCCAAGTCCATGTCTTATTCTTGTTGGTATCCCTAATACCTCACACAGTGTCTTGTCCATAATGGATGCTTGATCAATGTAGACCCACTTAGAGGTTCAGGTTGCTTAGTGTTGGTGACCACAACAAGTCTCCCAGATCCAGATTTAGCACCCCATGTTTGAGCAGGTTACTAAGACCCACCTCTATCTCCTCCTCTATCAAAGCAAAGGGCTGCTCCTGAACCTAAGTCTGGAAGCTTCTGTGAGAATTGAGTTGACATGTGGCCTCTTGGTTGTGCCCTTCTATAGTCCCTCCAGTATTTGCCCATCTCCAAAGTGCTGAGTGTAGCTATTGATGAATTTCCTGAGGCTTGTCAGGAGAATGAAAATGTATGTGTTGATGACATCGACCCTAATATCCAGAGTTCTGGATCTCTAGACCCTGTGGATACCAGCATTTCAGGTAAGAAATCAGTCTTCTCTCTCCTTGGGTAATGTGGAGAAAGAAGATTGTGGTTTTGCACATGTGTTGTTTTATGGCATTGATCTTGCTTGACATTTTTCTATAAGCCAAGAAGTTATATCTTCTTAATAAACAAGTATTAATTTAATATTTTATGATGGAAAAAATAAGAAAAATACTTTTCTTAGACATTATTATCTCCCTCTTTATAACTGGCAAATAAAGAGAGAGGGAGAAAAACAATGAACTTGAAGTTGAGAGTACTAGGTTCCAGATATATTTCTGTGGTGGCCTCACCGTGGGCCTGTTTAGGTCATTTCATCTCTTTGGGCTTCAATTTATTCATCTCCAAAATACACCTTTCAGATTAAGTGATACCTAAGGTCTCTTTCAGTTTTACTGTTACATGTTTAAAAAATAATTTCCTTATCTGAATCAATTTAATGGTCCTCCTGCCCTTACCTTGTGTTATAGATAACTAAGAAACCTAATCAGGTTTCTACTCTGAGTGGCATATTTGCTTGGGATATGTACAGGGTGACACAGGAGCACCCAAAGTGGCAGCCATCTTAGTTGTAGGGAATCAAAGAAGGCGTCTCAGAGGAAGGCCGTCTGAACTGGGTCCTTAAAAATGAGCAGGAGTGAGCCAGGCAAAAGGAGATAAAAGCTCTCACTTTCTTCTAATTTGTTGGTTAATTTATAAATCATAATCTTTGTTTACCACAAAGGACTATAGTAGTTCTCCCACTAAGTCATTCTTCAAAGGGTCTGTTGGGTTTCTCCTACAGGCTGTGTGAAGGTGAGTGGTCCTTGCTACCTTCCCCAGAAAGCCAGCATCAAGGGTTTGTCAGATAGGCATGGCCCAGGATGGCCTGGCCTATAAATTGTGCCAGAGAAGCTTGGGCAAAGAGCAGAATGGGCCTCCCTGTGAACAGAGAAGCTCCTGCTTTCAGTTATCTCGCAGAACACTCCATTTTCCCTCCCTGATTAGTGTTTATTGGTCTTAGTGTTCTTGGTTTTGGTTGTTTTGTTTTGTTTTGTTTTGTTTTGTTTTGCTTTGTTTTAGGGCTGACAAGAACAGAAGCTGCTTTCTCCCTGCCCCAACACGTGACTGAAAGAGAAGGACTGAAACCCCAGCTGAGGCTCCTGCTCTCCCATTTTAATATCCCATATGACGTGGAAGAGCTAAGGGATGCTACTAAGGAAATGGAACTTTTTAATTTGGTACTTGATGGACTCTTTCTTAATACAAAGATAGGTGTTCGTGAAAGAAAACACTACTGTTTGCCACAAAGTTGGATATTTATCCTGCCTCAATTGTTTCTAGAGTGATAAAATTTAATTGTAATAGGTGAGATTTAGATAGCACTTGAACTTCCCCCTCTGTAAGAGTACTGGGTCTCTTGAATATACAACACAGAAGGATCACAGGATTTATTTTTCTGTAGAATTTAAAGAAAGAGTAGTTTATAGTCCATAGTAGATGGTATAAAAGTAGCCAAGACTTGGAAGATTTGCATAATGGAGTTGTCTAGTGTCTTGAGCCCTTCGATTCTCGGAATGTGTTGTAGTAGCTCTCCTATTGGCAAAAATTCTTTAAATTCAATAGAGTTTTATATTATGAGTAATTTTTTAAAGTCATGCAGTCTGCTGAACTGTAACACAGTGTTGCACTTCCTTTAAAAAAAAAAACTCGTATTAATAGAAACCATGTTAAAACTCATTTCAAAGGGAAAAAATAGAATTATGTATGGATAGCTTTAAATTTAGAATATAAAGTTTTCAGCCAAAGCATCAAAAATAAAGATACTACTTTAGGTCTGGGTGTGGAATTTTGCAAGTATATGTATTCACTAGGGAAAAATAGTAAATTGATTGATCCAAACAGGCAAAACTAAAATCTGAATGTGTTTGAATGCTCTTTGTGTAAGAAGGAGCCACTGTCCTCTCTGTCACCATTTGCCTTGACATTCAACTTTCACTTCCATGTGTGCTTGTTCCAGCATGATTTTACTAGGATTATTTCTATTAATATGTAACATGGTCTCTTTATGCTCCCTGAAACCGGTGGTATCACATGTCCTCTGGTTTCTTTGAAGGTGATGATGTTTCAGCTCTTGCCTTTCTTTGCAGCAGAGCCCTTCTAGGGAGTACCTTACCCTCATTATCAGCAAGCATTGTGATAAACAAAAACTGGAATTGGAATAAGACGGTGTTTTTAAAAGAGTCAAAATAAACAAAAATAAATGATAACACAGTAGCTATCATCAATGATAACAAACAAACAAACCAACCAACCCATAAGCTGCTGAGCAAACTTGTTCCAAAAGAACAGCTTGTTTCCTTTCCATAGCAATAGTTTCCACTTCTGATTATTTTGAACGTTTTTTTAAATTTTTTTTTTTTCTTCAACGTTTTTTTTTATTTATTTTCGGGACAGAGAGAGACAGAGCATGAACGGGGGAGGGGCAGAGAGAGAGGGAGACACAGAATCAGAAACAGGCTCCAGGCTCCGAGCTGTCAGCCCAGAGCCTGACGCGGGGCTCGAACTCACGGACCGCGAGATCGTGACCTGGCTGAAGTCGGACGCTTAACCGACTGCACCACCCAGGCGCCCCTTTAAATTTATTTTTGAGAGAGACCAAGTGTGAGCAGGGGAGGGGCAGAGAAAGAGGGAGACAGAATCTGAAGTAGGTTCCAGGCTCTGAGCTGTCAGCACAGAGCCAGATGCGGGGCCTTAAACTCGTGAACCACGAGATGATGACCTGAGCTGAAGTCAGATGCTTAACCGACTGAGCCACCCAGGCGCCCCCTCCACTTCTGATTTTCTTGTAACAGTGTTATGTGCAGTGCTTGTGCTCACAAGATAATCAATCACATTACAACAATTTTTTGTTCGTGTAGGAAGAGTTCTTATATTTGGGTACTGTTTATTCTGGTTCTCTAATTCCTTAGAGCAGAGTCAGCAAATGACAGCTGCAGGCCACCACCTGTTTTGTTTTGTTTTTTAATAAAGTTTTATTGGAATTCATCCATGCCCATTAGTTTACATATTACTATGACTGCTTTCATACCACAAATGCAGAGTTTAGTATTTGCAACAGAGACCATATATATGGTCTGCAAAGACTAAAATATTTACTATCTGACCCTTTAAGAAAAACTTTGCCTTCATCCTGTTTAGGTTTCCCAAAAATTTCAAAGCATCTTTATGGAGCAACAGAGAATGCAAACATTTCCAGACTATGATGCGAAGATAGCTACTATGGAGAATTTGGGTTTGGCAGGACCTGGTATGGCCTTGAAAAAGAAAGCTAACTGGATTTCCTTTATAAAGGTAAAGAGACCTGTAGTGATAGTCACCTGTCAGTGATGTCAGCATGGTCATAAAGTATCCTACAAGCAGGCCAAGCAACCTGGTAGCACCAGGTCTGTCAGGTCCCTATTTTCCCCTCGCCTCAGTGCCCTGAGCAAACTGTCCCGTAGGACCAACGGTAGGTACACCAATCTCCCCCAGCTCCTTCCTGCCTTGGGTCCATGTTGAAGTTAGCCATGTTGACCTGCCTTCTCTGAAAAGCCCCCATGATCCTGTACTCTCTATTGGGTCAGAACTCTCTTGTTGTTAGTGGTCTTGGCTACTTGGCTAGAACAAAGAATAACGTTCAAAGGTATAAGTGAGCTGTGTAAATCCAGCTTTTTAGTCAAAAACTATTTATTGAGTATATACTATGTGTGAGGCATGACCCTTGGTGCTGGAGATACACAATTTACAAACAATACAGAAGCAGATTAAACAAGATGATTTTGGGTAGTGGTAAGTATAGTGGATTCTCATTGTTTGGGGTTACTATGTTCTATAAAGTTGCCACAAACACTGAATTAACAAATACAGAACCATTGTTCATAGGGAAAATACAAGGTTTATTCGTCAACTGATCAATACATAACCTTGATTTATGTGTGTTTCTGTTTAAAGACTAATATATGTTTTTGATTCATTAACATTGAACTCGTGGCCAATAGCACTATAACTCATGCCTGAAAAAAACTTATCAAACATATGTATATCTTCTATAACATATATCACAGCCTTCCTGTACTTAGGAACACTTAGGAATACTTCAGCACTATACCTAGGGGCCATTTTAAGCAGTGACATCATCAGTAAAAAACATAAAAATGTAGAAACAAAAAGAACTTGTTTACAGTATGAGAACTGAAACAAGAAGGCAGAATGTCACCTTGTTTGACCTCATCTGGGAATGTGGGGTTGGATGACTCAAATTTTTCACCATCCTTTGCATGTCCATGAATAACCTGGATAGATCTGCTACTATTGGTTTGGGTTTTAAAAATAAATTTTAGTGAGTAGAAAATTTTCAAATACAAAATCCATGAATAATGAGGATCAACTAATTGTGAGAGAAAGAAAAGTCTTGTATGGTAAGATGGGCGGTGGGAAAGGAGAGAAATCTCCTGGGGCTTGAGCAAATAGGTGGTTGGTGTGGGAAAAGCCAGACTTTCTGTTTTAGATTGTTACATTTGCCGTCCAACTATAGATATCAAGGAGATAGTTGGATATAATAGACTGGAGCTTAGAGCTAGATATAAATTTGAGAGTTATGAGTATGTTGATGTATGTACAGCTATGGGTCTAGTTTTTGAAATATACCCTATTAATGCAGAAGGTAAATTTTTACTGTGGAGTATTTGTGGTCACACTTTTCTTGCCCCATAAATCAAGTGTGGTGCCCAACACTGATGGATTTAGGGTCCCTCCTGCTCGTGGATGGTTCTGTGTCTTCCCAGTTGAAGCTAGTAATGTATCTCATAGGCCAGGCACCAACAGGAATTGCTGCTGCCATCTCCCTCCATGGATCTGTGAACCCATGCAGACCCTTTCCAAGATGTCCCATGATCTTGGCAAACTTTCTAGCACCAAGATTAGATCCCATTTCAGAAGGCCCTTGAATCTCTTTGCTTGCAACTTTTTTTAGAACCATTCTGTTATGTTGTAACTTTGTATGAACATATTTGTCCGTTAGATTAAGCCAAAATGTGATCCTTGGCAAAAGAAGATGTTGACCAAACTAAAAGAACGGAAAAGAATTGATGCATTAATGCAACTCCAAGCAAAGTTTTTGAAGGTAAGAAAATAACCATGTTCCCTTGTAGATAAAATTCTTGCTAAAATCATTCTCAGAAAATTGAATTTTCTTTCCCTTTTAAAGAAATATTAGCCATGGATTTTCTATGAAAGCTTTATTTGGAACGTTCTAATCTAATTCCAAAAGTTTTATAGCCCTGTTAGTTTTCAGTAGAAAGTAACAATTGTCAAAAGAGCTGCATTTCAGTCCAGCTTCAGCACTAATGCTCTGTGTGACATTGGTCTAATCACAAAACGTCCTTGAGTTTGTTTCCTCATCTGTGAAACAGAAATACTGGATGAAGTTATCTTATTTTTATTGTGGTAAAAATCACACAGCATAAAATTTGTCATAGTAATCATGTTACGTGCACGTAGTTGTGTTCAGTATATTCACATTATCGTGAAACAGATCTCCAGAACTTTTTCACCTGGCAAACAGAAACTCTGTACCTATTAAACAACAATTCCCTATTTCCTCCTCCCCACAACCCCTAGCAACCACCATTCTATTTTCTGTTTCTAAATTTGACTACCTTTAGATACCTCTTATAAGTGGGACTCATATAGTATTTGTCTTTTTTGTAACTGGCTTATTCCACTTAGGGTAGTATCCTCAAGATTCATCCATGTGGTAGCATGTGGCCAGATTTCCTTTCCCTTTTGTTTTTCACAAACATTTTATCAGCTTTATTCACAATAGCCAAAATCTAGAAACAACCCAGATGTCTTTCAGAGGGTAAATGAACTAGTTGTGGTACATCTGTACCACAGAATAGCAGTCAGCTGTAAAAAAGAACAAACTAATGATATACCCAAGAACCTGGATGAATCTCCAGAGAACTAGGTGACTGAAAAAAAGTCAATCGCATAAAGATGGTATAAGTCCATTTCTACAATACTCTTTTTTTAAATTTTTTTTAAAGTTTTTTTTTTAATGTTTATTTATTTTTGAGACAGAGAGAGACAGAGCATGAACAGGGGAGGGTCAGAGAGAGAGGGAGACACAGAATCCGAAGCAGGCTCCAGGCTCTGAGCACAGGCTCTGAGCCTCAGCACAAAGCCCGACGCTGGGCTCAACCCACAGACCGTGAGATCATGACCTGAGCTGAAGTTGGACGCTCAACCGACTGAGCCACCCAGGCGCCCCTCTACAATACTCTTGAAATGACAAAGTATAGAAATGGAGAATGGATTTGTGGATTGTAGGGGCTAAGGAGAGGCTGGTGAGGAAGGGAAAGAAGTGTGGTTATAAAAGAGCAACATAAGGGATCCTTGTGGTGATGCATTTGCTCTATAACTTGACTGTATCAAGGTCAATATCCAGGTTGTGATATACTGTACTATGGTTTTGCAAGATGTTAACATTGGCGGAAATGGAATGAAGAGTACATGGGATCTCTTTACATTATTTCCCCCTCTTTTCTTCGATTGTAGTAAAATAGACATAAAATTTACTATTTTACCTAGTTTTGTTTGTCTCAAGTTTTTATTTAAATTCTAGTTAGTTAACATATAGTGTAATATTGGTTTCAGGAGTAGAATTTAGTGATTGATCATTTACATAGAATACCCAGTGCTCATCCCAACAAGTGCCCTCCTTAATGCCAAACACCCGTTTAGCCCATCCCCCCACCCAACACCCCTCCATCAACCCTAACCACCTCCCTTCCACCAACCTTACATTTGTTCTCCACTGTTAAGAGTCTCTTATGGTTTGCCTCCCTCTCTTTCTTTTTCTCTTCCCCTATGTTCATCTGTTTTGTTTCTTAAATTTCACATAGGAGTGAAATCATATGGTATTTGTCTTTCTCTGACTGATTTATTTTCCTTAGCACAAGAAACTCTAGCTCCAGCCACATCATTGCAAATGGCAAGATTTCATTCTCTTTGACGGCTGGGTAATATTCCATTATACACACACACACACACATACACACATTTTCTTCACACACACACACACACACACACACACATACATATATAGATACTTTATTCATTTTGAGAGAGAGACTTCATGATGAGCAAGGAACGGTCAGAGAGAGAGGGAGAGAGAGAATCCCAAGCAGGCCCTGCACAGTTAGCACAGAGCCTGATATGGGGCTTGATCCCACGAACTGTGAGACCATGACCTGAACTGAAACCAAGAGTTGGATACTTAGCCAGCTGAGCTACCCAGGTGCCCTGTTTTAACTATTTTTAAGTGTACAGTTTAGTGGCATTAAGTACATCCATAATGTTGGATAATCATCACCACTGTCCACCTCCAGGACTTTTCATCTAGCAAACTGAAACTGTAGACCCATTAAACAATAACTCCTCATTCTTCCCTCTCCCTATTCCCTGGAAACTACCATTCTAATTTCTGTCTCTATGCGTTTGACTACTCTAGGTACCATGTATTAGTGAAATAATACAGTATTTGTCTTTTTATGACTGACTTATTTTACCCATCTACATCCATCCATGTTGTAGGAGACATTAGAATTTCCTTCCTTTTTAAGGCTGAATAATATTCTCTTGTGTGTATCTACCATGTTTTTAAAAATCTATTTGTTGATGGACATCTGGGTTGCTTCCACCTCATGGCTATTATGAATCATGCTGCTATGAACATGGATATGTAAATATCTTTCTGAGATCCTGTTTTCTATTCTTTTGGATATAAACCCAGTAGTGGAATTGATGAATCATAAGGTAATTCTGTTTTTAATTTTTATTTTCCATAGAAATATCAGCATTTTACAATACTACCAACAGTACACAAGAGTTCCAATTGCTCCACATCCACATCAGCACATGTTATTTTCTTCCTTCCTTCCTTCCTTCCTTCCTTCCTTCCTTCCTTCCTTCCTTCCTTCCTTCCTTCCTTGTTCTTTCTTCCTTCACCTCCTCCTCCCCTTCAATGCCCCATCTGTCTCCCCCTCCCCCTCCTTCTCCTCCTTCTCCTCCCTCTCCTCCCCAACTACCTTCTCTCCCCCTTCTTCTTCTCCTTCTTCCTGTCTTTCTTGATATTAGCCATCCTAATGGATGTGAGGTGATATCTCATTTTGGTTTTACTTTGTATTTCTCTGATGATTAGTGATTTTGAGAATCTTTTCATATGCTTATTGGCCATTTGTATATCATATTTGGGAAAATGTCTATTGAAGTCCTTTGCCTATTTTTAAATTGGGTTATTCTATTTGTTGTTGCTGAGTTGTAGGAGTTCTTCATATAGTCTGGATATTAAACTCTTATCAGATATGTAATTTGGAAATACATTCCCTCATTCCCTAGGTGACTTTCACTCTGTTAATTGTATCCTTTGATGCACAAAAGTTTAAAGTTTTATGTAGTCACATTTGTCTATGTTGCTTTTTTCTTGCCTGTGCTTTTGGTGTCATATCCAAGAAATCATTGCCAAATTCAATGTTATGAAGGTTTTTCCCTGTTTTTGTCTAAGAGTTTTATAGTTTTAGGTCTTATGTTTAGATTTTTAATCTATTTTGGGTTAATTTTTTTGTGTCTGGTATAAGATAAAGGTTTAACTTCATTGCTTTGCATGTGGATATCCAGTCCTAAAACAATTTGTTGAAGAGACTGTCCCTTCTCTGTTGAATGACATTGACATCTTTTGATCATCTGACCACATACTCGAGGGTTTATTTCTAGATTTTCTATTCTATTCTGTTGGTCTATACGTCCAATTTATTCCCGTACCACACCATTTTGATTACTGTAGCTTTGTAATATGGTCTGAAATCAGAAAGTGTGAGTCCTCCAGTTTTGTTCTTCTTTTTCAAAGTTATGTTGGTGATTTGGAGTCCCTTGAGATTTTGTATAAATTTTAAGATGAATTTTTCTACTTATGCAAAAAACGCCATTGGGATTTTGATTAGAGATTGGACTAAATGATATTTGAAGTTCCTTGTGATATTAAAATGATTGAAATTCCATAATACTTGTATCACTGCAGTAGGAGTTCAGCGTTGGGACTATTATTTGATTCTTTACTTCCGGAAAAGAAGGAACATTTATTCAGTACCTACTACATGCCAGGCGTTCTTGCAGCAATCTGGGGAGATACATCCTAGTGTTCTTGTTAGGACAGAACAAGAACAGGATTCCAGTAGATATGCAAGCCCAAGTCTGCATCCTTACAAAGCCTGGGCTTCCCTCACACTACCCAGCTTCTTCTTCCTCCATCTCCTGTCAGCTTCCTAATAGCAAACAGGGTTTGTACCCAAAATGATGGGTGTTCATCTTTTCACTGGTCCCACAACACCTCTAGGGGAGCAACCTGCTATTGTGTTTAGAGGGTTGTCACACAATTTTAAATGAGCTCCTATGTGTATTTGAATACTTACAATGTTACATGGATGGACATATGTAAGGCAATCATGATGTTTGAGTATGATTTTATTTTTTAACTGAATAAAGCCCCACTTGGGACTGCTTTCCTATTCATGTGTTCACGACCACATTCTTGCTGAAAAGAAGGGAATAACGCTTTTCCCAACCATTCATTTCCCCCTTGTACTCCTTGAGATTTCCAGCCCTGAGCGAGTGATGCAAGTGCTCCAAGACCACGCGGCGAAGACAGTCATGCTGGCTCCATCTCATCCAGCTTTCGTGGCTTCCCAGAGTTCGCATCAGTGCAACTATGACAGTATCTGGGAGGACATTTATAGCAACACCAACCTGTACCAGGTACAACAGGAAGAAATAACCAATGTGCCTTTCTGTTTTACGAACCACCTGTGTGTATGCCTTAGAAATTTACTTTGGTAGTTTTGCAGAGACCCTCCCCCTAAAAGCTTTACTACCCAGCCAGGCTTGTTTTTATTTCATACACACACACACACACACACACACACATTTATACACACACACACACACACGTATAATTAGCATTTAATACACTTAAATGCTAATTAAAAACAGACATATAAAGAAGTGTAATACAAGATGTTGCTGCCGGGACCTATACTCAACCAATACATACAAATGCAAAGCTTCACACTTTAGTGCTTAACGGACGAAGCCACCCAGGGGCCCCCACTCCTTAGTGCTAAACACCAAATGAGTTGGACAGTTGTTAAATATTGTTTT